ATTCACAGATGTTTGGAGGTCAAACAGTGTTAAGATAACAAAAGGGGTTCCACAGGGTTCCATCCTCGGCCCCCTCTTGTTCTCTCTTTATGTCAATGACTTGGGCACTGACCTGGATCAATCCAGGGTAAATCTTTTTGCAGATGACACGATACTGATTACTGCTGGCCGCTCTCCGGATGACGTGATTGCTAAGCTCCAGGGTGATTTCAACAAACTACAACATCAGCTAGTTTCTCTTAAACTAGTCCTGAATACCTCCAAAACCAAGGTGCTATGCTTCTCACCGGGACTAAAGCAGGAAGTTATTTTTCCTCAATTACATTCCTTGAATAATTATCAAATAGAGCAAGTCAAGATCTATAAGTATCTTGGGGTCATCCTGGATTCAAAACTTAGTTTTGAAGATCACATTTATTATATTGGTAAAAAGACAAAAATAAAAATTGGTTTTCTGTATCGACACAAGCACTGCTTCCCCCCAATGTTCCGTTTGGAATTGATAAAAGCTACCATACTGCCTCTACTTGACTACTAAATCAGCCCCCAGTACTGTACTGAAGAAGCTTGATTCCATCTATCACTCGGCCTTAAGATTTGCATTGAACTGCCCATATAGGACTCACCACTGTGATCTCTACATTGGGTCAAACTTAACATCTCTTAATGTTCGACGGCTTGTGCACCAGATCTTATTTATTCACGATGCACTTACAAAAAATTCCGCAGACTACCTACTGGATCTCCTCTCTGTTTCAAAGAACAAATTTGACCTCAGGTCTTCGCTCATTTACCAGCTTCACATTCCCTATTGCCGTACAAAAACTGGAGGAAGGGCCTTTGCTATTGATGCCCCCAGGGTCTGGAATGCTATTGCCAATAAACTGCAACTTGAATCACTACTTATATCTTCACTCAAAACTGCTCTAGAGGAGTTGTACACCCCTAGCTGCCACTGCTATTCAGTGGTCTAAAATATGGCTCTAGATTTTGGTGTTATAATTTATTTATGTAGTTTATTGTTAAAAATTCGGTCACAGTCCCTATGATCACTGTTACATTACATTTATGGCTTTTATTTTGGTGATTTCGAAAACGTTTTTTTTGTTTTGGCCATGTTTTTGTTTATTGTAGTACGGAGTTAGATTGATGGCCTTAATCTTAGTTGTCTTTTTTATTGTGTTGTATATATTTTATTGTTTTGTTGTTTCCCTTCAACGTGACTTTACCGAAAGAACTAAGAATATGAATTACTGCAGTCACGAAAGCTTTAAATCAAAATTTTGTCTTGTGGTTGTTGTTATTTGACTTGCATCCCACTGGGATTTTTGCACACAGCGTTGGTGTACGGTGCTATTTCAGGAATATTTTGATGTTTTTTTTCCGGGATTTTTCTGTTTGCACAGTCACACAGTCACTTTAAGATGTTTTCTTGTTCATGTTTTTGTTTGTTGCGGTTGCACCCGATTCAAGAGCCGAATGTTTCACAGGGCTATACCAAATAAATGAACTATGAAACAGAATCTGTTTAGAATTCGGAGAAGATACAGCAGCAGAAGTGAGTGTGAAAGCAATGGGTATTACCTTGTGATCGCGCCATCTTTTGAGGAAGGTCAGCGTCTCGATGAGCTGTGACTTCTTGTCCCGTTGTCTGTTAAAAGCTCTAACAGATAGGTGAAAGCCCTCTCCGTAGAGGTTATCAAGCTTTAAATCAATTCTAGATTTAAAGCTTGCAGTCACGAAAGCTTTAAATCTAGAATTAGTGCTTAAGAGTTTTTGTTTTGATATTTGTATGATTTTAGTCAATAAAATTGCTTCCATTCCAATTTACATTGGCAGAAGACGCAGGCAGAGTGACTCCAGACGTAAAACGGATGCACCCCTTAAAAATGCATTTGGTTTACAAATGCATTTGAGCAACGAAGAGGTATTATTTAACTCTCGTGGAATTGTATCTGGGATACTCGTGTTCACTACTGTACTCTCAAGGGCACCACAAACAACCTAAAAGGTCAATGATACTTTGGTTTAACATGTCTCGTGGAATATTAGCACCTTTTAGAAGAACACTACCTCAGAGTATCACGTTGAAAATGTCAGATGAAATTTGAGAATGAAGGCGTTTTCCGGACTGAACATTGACTTACACTTACCTGCAGACACGCCATGTGTACAGTGAAATTCCTGTCATCCTCGTAGAATGCAGATCAGCAAAATCAAGAATAAGCTTCATCATCCTATTTTCCACAAAATAGCTCTTGTTATCCCGGATTAAAAAATGGATTAAATTGCAACTGTGACTCTTTGTGTCAAAATCAGGCAATCGGCAGACCTGCCGTAATGTGCATTGGCCCCTACCCCGTGGCTACAATGTAATCAGCAGCAAGATCAGCATGATCGTCTACACATAATAAACGTTTTTGGGTTGGATCGCGTTATTTATAAATGTGTTGCAACCCTCCACCATCCGACACGGCCAATCAGTAAAAAATGTGTCATGTTGACAAAAGACAAATAGTTCACTACTTTAGCCCACAGGTGTGTTGAAGAGTGAAATTGTTTACCTTCTACGTGACTTTACCGAAAGAACCAAGAATATAAAAATCATTTTCCCTTTACAAACTCGTGTTTGTACTAGAAAATATAAGTTTTTGAAGGAAAATGGGGAATTTCAGATGTCACACTTCAACAAGTAACCTTTGCCATTTGAATTATGAAAAGTGAGTAAAAGCTCTGTCTGGATGAAAATAATATGGACGTGTTTAATGTTTAAACAAAAATGAAATACTGGACCTCAAATGTGGATTTATGCATAATTCTTCCATCTATAGTACACGCTGCCAAATGGATCAGAAACATCTGATCAAGGCAATGGGCCAAAGGCTGAAAATGAAGCAAAGAAGTGTGAAAAGTTACGTTGTGGAAATCACACTTGAGACACAAAAAGTGAAACACAGGTATTGTATCAGAGAAATGTACATGAGAGTCCCCAACGACTGTTAAAGAAAATAAGTGGGCTTGAGCAGGGAACAATAAAAAATAATGCCGGATGGGAAATTTCGATAGAATTGCAAGTAGAGATGTCCAAAAAAATGATCACGATGAAGATTAAGTGATGGGAACTGTGGGTGTGCAAGTAGCAAGATGGAATGTGGCATTGCAGGACTGCTAAGGATTGCATTGGCATGGAAAAGACCTTTACCCATGTTTGCAACTTTAATGGTTTCTAATTTGCATTCACATGCATCTCTTATGAATGTACACCCTTGTCGGTGTTGCTTTAAATTGAAGTTGCTTGAACTGGACCATAATGGGTGTTTTTAATCTAATATTTGAAGCTCACTTCGAGGTGTTTAATTATCGTGTGAGTTGAGCCCATTAACAAGGCAGCATGCTGCATTCCTGGAAAACAGAAGACTTAAGTAGCTCTTCCGCTCGGCTAGCCTCTTATGAATTTAACAAAAAAAGTGGTTCTCAAATCCCAGTTCAGTGTCTTTTCATTTCCCAATCAACGGATGCTCGCAAAATATCATTAAAAAATGCAATGTTATTGAGTATATAATGCAAACCAGTTTGACAATCCCCTGGTGCAACAGAAATACATCCACTAAAGAGCAAGTTGAAAATTATATAGCACGTTGTTGAATACATATAATTTGACTATCTCTATTTACGATGTAAATGATGAGAATTGGTACTTATCGGGTGGTTGAAAGTCGAAGCAACCGACATTACATCTCAATCATTCTAATGCCTACCTTGCATTTTAATATAGCGTCTGTCCCTGTGCGGCCCAAGGTAAACACAGCACGAGCTTGCACGCTGACATTAGTCTGTCAGGAGGGGGCGATGTTGCGCTTGGTGTTCCAACTTAAGGAAATGGCAAACAATAGTTTATTTTAAAAATTACTAAGCCACGATACCTGCACAAACGGAACGTGATTTTTTTTACCATCCAACCCCAAAGCAGGGGATAATTATTTGTTGTTAACATGTCCAGATTAGGGTAAAGGTGCAGCCATGCCGTTGTTTGCTCAAGGTACTACTGGCAGAGGGATCTCCACTAGAGGGAGCCCCAGTCCCATTCTCGAGTTTTGTGGCCTCTTACACACTTACCAGACCTCTTAATGGCAGCACATTTATACGTACGGAGGTGTTATTAAAAAATAAGAGGTAAAACGCTCGCATCTAACAATTCAGATTTTACAGTATTTAAAACGTTTACTCCACGAAATTCTACAAACGCGTGCTTGATATGGTAGAGGATGCAAAGATTCCCAACCTAACATCCAACATTAGAATGATTAAGACAGCCCAATGGATCCAGTATACAGTACTGCGAATTAATTTTCATTGGCGTATGTTTGCTGAACTCAGGTTTCCTCTTACGGATAAAAAAACCCACCAATATCATCAATCTCCTGGCAGTTGAAACAATGGGCACGTTAATATTATTGGTTCTTTCGGTAAAGCCACGGTGACTTTACCGAAAGCACCAAGAATATGAATCCCTGCAGTCACGAAAGCTTTAAAACGAAAAATGAACACGTTTCTTAAATCCAACCCGTCCAGCAGGATAAGTAACGCCAGTTAGTCGATCATCCTAAAACGTTTGGCCAGCTTAGAAAAGTAGGCCAAATGCCCTCTTAGAGGACCCAGTAGTGGCAAGACATTGCAGGGCTGCTCCTTTGAACTTTTAAAATGCTACAATTGCCAAATGAAGTGTCGAACCAACAAACCGGACAGCAGGTTGTTGTCTGCCCGTTGACTTCAAGTCGGGTGACTCGATGTCAAATTAAAGCACCCTTTGAGCCGGACTTCATACTGGGGTGACCAAAACAAGGTTTAGCAATTTACCCAGGAAGCCAGGTCTCTTGACTACCACCTATGTTTACCGTCTGCAAATGTGTACACGCTAAATGTGAAGCAAGTCTCGACTCAATTGCTGATTTTAATTGCGGTAACTCGCGTTATCTTGGCAACGAACACACACACGTCAGTCAAAATGCACCCACTTTTATTAAGTTAAAAAGCCAATTGCAAGTTTGCTGGTTTTGTTGTATCTTGAGAACAGTTGAGTAAACATCGTCCTGCATACGTGTACAGATAAAATGTTACATTGGACAAATTGGCAACGAAATTACCCATCGCATTAAAATCTAATTTAGCGGCATTAAATGCAGAAATCGCACAAGATTTAAAAGTTTCATTCACATTCTAAAACACGATGTGAGCAAGACTCGGTCGCTTATATATTACAAAAATATTTGTTTAAAGCAAAATATGAAATATCTGTAAATTCATTTACTGTACAGAGTACACAGCCAGAATTAAGAGTCACAAACGCCCAGCAATTGTACTATTTACAACAATTTCGAATCGAGACCAACTTTAATGTCATTTAAAAAACAAAACTATTTCAGGTCCTGAACAGTTTAAGCTCGGTTGGTGGCATTCAAAATTGGCCCAATTATATCGTCACGTAAAAAAAGGGTACACTTTCAGAAAAAACGACACCATAAACTACAACACAATTAACAATTAATTCTAAAACCGCCGCAGAACAAGGACAAACCATATTTATACTCGAATACAAAACGACTTTAGAGGCCAATTCCGCACGCGAGACGTTATCGAGTTGGCTTGTAAACGCCCACAAATTTCCAATTGATAAACCCGGTCAGAAACTAAAAATGCGTGTGTTTTTTTACTCGAATAAAAGACGACTATTAAACTTGGCCGAGTCCAGGGGGCCGCGTTTATTTTAGAGCCAGCCTCTGGCCAAACCGGGCTTCTTTACAATCCAATAAGAGGCCGAGCCAAGGATTATAGCGGCTCGGCGCGCTGTCACCGGCATCAGAATGCCGGCAGTAGTAGTGTAGGCTGGGGGGGGTGGTGGTGGTGGCGAAACGGACAAATGAAACTCCAACGAAGGTGGACAACAACGGCAGTCTCCCACCGGCCCCAACTCTCTCTCTGAACACGGGAAGTAGTCTCACTCCATCACGTTCGCCTCTGGCGGCGGCTGCTGCTGCTGCAAGAGTTCGTTCTGGTGAGCCAGACGGCCGTTCTCCCTCTGCAGCCGCTCCACCTCGGCCTGCAGGTCCACCACCAACTGCTTTCCCAACGCATCTCCTGCTCCACCGGCGTGCGTGTGGTGGGACTTCGCCAGTGAGCCGCCTTCGCCACGGCTAGGGTCCTCGACACCACCGCCGCTACTCGCAGCGCAAGGAGGGCCCTCTGTGCTCTGCTCATCCCGCTGCTGCTGCTGCTGCGTGACTGCAACGGGAGCAATTTCCGCAGCTGGAGGGGAACGCAACGATGATGGTGCAGCAGCAGCAGCAAGTGGCGCTTGATGTCGGCTCGCGGGCTTCGCCTCCAACGCCACGGCAGGTCCCCTCCAGCAGCCGCGCTCGCCCAGGCACTCTCGCAGGCGCAGGTTCTCCTCCTCCAGACGAGAGAGACACTTCTCCAGCTCCAGGTACTCGCGCACCAGCTCGCCCTTGCTCATGGCGCTCAGGCTCTCCACGTGGTAGCGCTCGTACGTCTCGGAGAAGTCGCGCTGCAGGAAGCCGTCTCGGCCGCCCTGCAGCCGAGACGGCAGCTCGTCGTCACCTTCACCGCCGTCGTCGCCCTCATCGGAGTCTTCGTCGCCGTCGTTGTCGCCGCCGCCGCCGTCGCTGCCGGCGGGCTCCAGGTCGGGCTCCTCGCGGTCGTGCTCGTCCATGAGGAACTGCGTGGTGTTGTACGGGGCCACTGCAAGCCCCTTGGCCGCCATCTCGGCGCGCATTCGGGCTGCGCGCTCGCTCTCACGCTCCTCCATCGCCTTCTTCTCCTCCCACGAGAGCGTCAGGTAGGGACGCCAGCGCCGCTGCTTCTTCTTCGAGGGACGCCGGCGGTGGCGCCTCCTGCTGGCCGTCGGCGGCTGCTGCTGCGGCTGCTGCTGTTGAGTTTGAACATGGGAGCGGGGGGTTGGTGCAGCGACATCTCCTACGCCTCGCTCGTCCCTCGCCGCTGCCCCCACGGGAGAGGCCGCTCCCGCTCGGCCAGATCCGCAGCGTCGCGCGCTCCCTTCCTCGGGGCCGTCGGTGGTGCCCGGGACCGCTCCGGAGACCACAGCCGCCATTTGCTCGTCGTGTGCCGTGTAAAACTCGTGTTGATGGGCGGCAACTTTCGAGTAAATAAAAACAATAGCCCTCGGGCTGGAAAGCTTTTGTTAGAGCGGCGGGGGCTAAAGTTTGCGTGCCAAACTAAGCAACAACAAAAAACTAGCAGAGCACCACGCGCCCTCTCGCCGATGTGTCGCGAAGTTGCGTCGCGCTTTATATAGAGAGAAAGTAGCGCCTCGGGATCCCTCCGCAGCACGGGCCGCTTTGCCGTCTACAGCGCTGGGGTTTCTCTGCGCGCGGGAAGGCGAGTTCCGCTCTGCGGAGCGCGCCCGATTGGCTGTTGCATTTTTGTAACACGTGGTGAGCTGCGTGGCCAATGGGGACGCGGCAGCCGAGGCCAAAGGACCAATGAGACGCGCGGCTTTATCCACCAGATCGGCAGACGCCACCAAGTCGCGGTAGCGTCCAGTTGCAAGGAGGAATGTTGTTTTTGCTCATTGCGATTGTGTTCTGGCTTTTCACAATGACATATACATCGCAATAAACGTGAGGAAACAAAAAATGTGCCCTGACATAATGACTGAAATGAGTTTCGAATGCAAGAATGTGCGCCTCCGTTGTGTTTCGCAATAAAACGGCATCGGCTCAACATGTCAATCTTTATTTTAGACTGCAGGGGGAATCTGATGAGCTATGAAGCTCTTTCACACATGCCCGATATGGGCGGGTCAGCAAGTTACAACGCCTAAAACAAACGTGTGTAACGAGGCTTCATAATGAATGGTATTTTCCCTGGTTTTGTGGGCAGCAGTGCGTGAATAATCTGTACCTCTGAGATCCCTACATTAAACCCACGTCGACTCGTGTGTGAGTTGTAAACAATCATAGCTACCCACGACGTGGGGAGGCCCTCATCAAGCCTCGACTAGACGAATGGTATAGTGGTGCAACGTTTACCCCTCGAAACGGCCACATCCGCAGATAACGCAACCACATTACATGTTTACATTTCCAGACAAGGAATAGCCGGAAAAAAAACCAATCACAGAAACAAATCTTCACAACAGTATTGTAACAAGTTAGCGTACGCAAGTAATCTGCGAAAACAAGTTGTGTCGTTTGGATCCGCTCTTCGTATTTGAAACGTCACAGTGATGGTTTTACCCCGATGTGTCGCGAGGCCTGTAGTTCCGGGGAGAGAGAGTGGCAGCGGCCTCGGATAGTTGACTCAGCCGGAGAAGGGAGCACCTGGGCCGCCCGGATCGCGTTGCTCAAGGGGGGCGGTAGTAGCGGGGTCAATGATCTCGTTTCATTTATAATTGCTGCTGTACAGCGGTCAACATTTTTTTCTTTACTGCTTGCAAGCAAGTCGTACGGCAGCAGTCGTCGGCGTTTAGAGGAGGAGGAGGGGGGTGTGAAGTGCAGTTAAAGCATGTTCTCTCCCAGAGTTTGCGTAGTGGTTCGTGATGAGAAAAAAAAATTGCAGCCGTGGTGGTTTTTTGTTTTTTTTGGTGTTGACAAAAAGGACGAGACACTTTCGTGTGAACCATCCCGAGGGGTAAACTTCAGCGCCACACAATGTACAACATTCTACACTTGGTGTGCAAAGTGCTGCGTTGCCGCTGCGTAAATGCAGTGGTTATACAGTACACGTTATTTAAAGTATATGCGGCCGCAAACACACACCACACTAGGAATGTCAATTAACTGTTTTTTTATTTAACTGACATGCAAATACCGCAATTAGTATGATTTGTACGTATTAGCTATTGTCTCTATAACCCCTTTTACGTGATCTAAATAAAGTCGGGGGGGAGAGACGGTAACTTTCGTCAAGATTAAATCACAAACTTTCGGCCTCACCTACCTATTAGTCACATTGCTCAAAATCATGTTGATGGTGAACTCAGCAGACGAGATCACCCACACAATACACCACTCGGTGTATGTACAAGGGGCTGAGTGCTTTTTCGCGTTTTTTTTGTGTATACTGCATTGCACTTTCAAACGTAAAGTCATGGAGGGCTCTGGTTGTATTTCCTGAACTGTATTGGTGCATTTTACTTTCACAACACCAGTGGCCTACATAGTAACATGGATTTATAAGTCGTGTTCGGGTAACAACAGCAGTTTTAGTATATATCGTGGGTAATGTAACTGTAATACAACTTGTGCATTCTCTACGCACTTAATTTGCACAAAAGTGGCTGATAAAACACATCTGAAAAGGAGAGTTTAACAATACAAAGCACGTGTCAGCATGATATTCTCTGCCCTATCTCGTGTTGTGCAACCATTGTTCTTACGTATTCCAAATGGTGATCTATTTAGTGTGCAAAACACCCAATTTCATCAAATACACATGGCTACATTCATACGGAAGGGTTTGTACATAGATATCAAAGTATATTCCAAAATTATCATAGGATGTTGGTATTCGTTATTAAGCATTTCTCAAAACAATTCACCTATTGATTACACTGAAAACTATTTTTTTTGGTTCCTGGGTAGTGTTATTTCCTAATTGCGTATGCCTCAGCAGTACAGAAAATAGCGATTATTTTTATAAACTTTGCTTTTGTGACCAGGACAGTGATATTTTGAAATTTGCCTATTTTCTCTTCGGTTCTTTCGGTAAAGTCACGTAGAAAGAACATACATTAAACAATAGAATACGTTTCGATTGCAACACAAGCAATCGTCATCGGGTAGAAAGCAAACCTCGTAAACTTATAAATATAACGCAATACAACGCAGAGAGTCGACTAACACAACAGTCAACACCCTAGCTGGTTGATTACGTTCTACCAAAGATTGCTAAATTTGTCACGGAGACTAGACAGACACACAAGCAGAGAGAGAGACAACATAGAGACACAGAGAGAGCCGAATGGCTCACAGGGCTATACCAAAATAAATAAACTGAAATAGTAAAAATAAACTGAGACACACACCCATCACTGAATGTTTACACAGAAGTAGAATATCTCAATTTAGATTTGAATCGTGGAATGGTCAGCCTTGTCTCTAGGGCCTTTACTTGGCATCTGTGAACACATAGCTTCACAGCTCATCGGATTTCTCCAGGATAAATAAATATTCTGATATAATAATGATTACCACCGAGTGAAACTGCAAGATTTCGTGCAGGGAAGGGTAAAATACAAATCACGATCCCCAGTATGTGGCATTTTCACCAGTAACTCTGGACAAGCAGCAATAAGGCTGCCCAGTCTCAGGTTGAGTAAACATTTGCTGACTCAGCACAGCGCCCCTGAGACTCTTCTGAAAACAGCAAGCTAATAAATAGGTAAGTGGGTAAGATAAAAAAAATGGTTTACTTTTATATTTGTTATGTTATTTGTTTACCTTTCCTGTACTTTGCACTCCTTTTTTCAGGTTTTTTTCAGCTTCATTTATTTTGGTATAGCCCTGTGAGCCATTCGGCTCTTGAATCGGGTGCAACCACAACAAACAAAAAACACACGAACAAGAAAACATCTTAAAGTGGCTGTCGTGTTTTTGTGTATTGTTTGTTGGTGTAACATTCTGACCCGCCCCTACTTGGCTTCTGTGAAAAAAAGCGCTTTACAGCTCATCGGATTCCTCAAAATATGAATTAATTTTCAGATTCGCTGCCTTCACGTGACGCTCACCACCACCCGCCCCCTATGTCACGTGCTCGCTAGGGACTGACCAATCACAGCGCTTGGCCACCTTGTGTACGGAACGCACCCTGTGTCGATTATGGCATCGATACACCCAACAAATCTGGAATAATCGATTCGAGTAAATGCCCGACAAATCCTGATCGGTAAACTGTATTAACGGATACTTTGACGCGACTAGCATGTTGCTTTTGATATTATCTTTTAATTCAAAGCAATACAATGGAGAATGGTAGCGTATATGATAAAATATACAGGATACACGATGTCGGTAATCGATAGACGCGTTACACGGTGGGCGGATCGACTCCCGTCAAGCCGGACGGGGACGGTGTCATGGTCCTGTTGGACGCGGCCGCCGCCTGACCCTCACAGTCCCCCCCCGCTGCGTTCCCCGACGGCCTGGCGCGCACGACACCGCGGCCATGCAGAAGATAAAGTCGCTCATGAGCCGGCAGGTGAGTCTGGCGGCGTCGCGGGCTGTGCTGAGCGTACAGCGGGCGGGAGACGGCTGTAGGCCTAAGGCCTTACGTCTTTCCTAGTTCTCCGGCGCGAGCAACCGCCGGGGGGGAGGCCTTCTTCCCTGGAGCGCGCTCGTGGTCCTCGCAACCTCTTAACATTCTGAGCCCCTGGCTGCAAGACCCTGAACCCTAGAGCCCGAGACCTTAAAGCTGTCGTCCCTACCCGCATGTAGACCCCAGGATCCCACACCTCCAGAGTTAAGACCTCCCGCACACCGCTAGATACCATGCGTGGGGAACCCTTAAAGTCCTGGCAGCAAGTGAATCGAATCCGTCATCAGAGCATTTTATGTAATTTACTCATATGCTCGGTTTCCTCAATACTTCAGTTTCACACAACATGTTCTCATTTAAATTGGCAACATCCCAATACAAGAACCCCCTGAAAAGGAGCCTTACGATTCAGCATTTTTTGGATACATACGTTCCATTATCGTGTTCGTTAAAAATGTGGCGATCCTTGGATCATTATTTGCGTTGGAACATTTTGTTTTCATGGGTTTCCTGGGTGGCGGGTGACACGTAGCAAACACTGACACACGCATTTTAACATCTGCAACATAGGTATACGTTTATCCAATGGACATTACACCACTTTCAAAACAAATACATTCAGAGGAATGTATCAGAGGAAAAACACACCTCTGTTATTGGCTCACGGTATGGATTCATGATGTTAAATTCAACAGCGACCTCCCTCTGACTCAGATTTCCCATGAGTTGAATTATCTGTACTCGTTCTTCCTTACTCAGAGACATCTTGGGCCTGCAGAAACAAAGAAATGTGAATTACCGGTAGTTCTTTCCCCCCATGATTCCAGACTTATGTGCCACTCTGTCGAAGGTTCCATTTCTGCATTAGTATTTTTTACACACTTGTCAGTGCGGTCCCCCACAGTACGGCATTTTAAACGCGCCACCTACTGTAAAAATGGATGTTGAAGACTGGTGGTAATATCATGCTCAAATGTTTCGCTATTACATTAAGACTGTATGGCATTCGGACCATTGCTGTATTGTATCATGACAAATGGTTAGACCTTTTTCATGTAATTAATTCACGGTAATCGTTTGGAATGTGAGTGTCCTTGACCACTGCAGTCACAAGCATCAGTCTGCATTAATTTCGCTTTGTATATAAAGGCTGTCCATTGAAATATATTATAATATATAGATTGCGTGCATACCATAACAAAATAAATCAGTGAATGTGAGGAGAATAAGTTTCAATCATGATGAATTTGTTAATGAAATGTATAATCAACAGCGGGGCACACTTGATACATGAAGAGTCTTCCCACCATTGGGCATGGAGACAAACAATCAAATGATGTTGTTTACAAGAATAGAGCGGTGTGAAATGGTGTCATGCTGAGATGTAATTTTGTCTGTTAAGAAATGTAAGTGGGCTTCGGGAGGACTAACAAATACAGCAATGAAATAGCCACTGCGTACAATTCTTGCGTATCGCATGTGTGATTGGTGCCGTAACATAACTAGATTGAAACATTTATAGTAACTTGCATTCCCTGTGGATTGAGCTGAAACTATTGAACATTATATAATTACATTGTCCGTAATGTTAACAAAACTATTATAAAACTATTATATTTTAAAACAGTTTTAAAAAAATACTACTTTGTTTTCACCACGAGTTAATTTTGTTTTGTGTTGGCAATTTGTGGTTTACTGTGCCATCAAATTGCTGGTGTTTATCTGACTTTGCATTTTATCACATCAATGCAATGTATTGCAGTCAAGCCCTTACACTGTCACCACCTATTAAAACAATGGTTCTTGTCCAATCTTGCACATATTTTAACCTTGAGCAATACGTAACATAACATTTCACTGAACCAGTGTATCTTTCCAGAATATGATTTTCATATTTACGTAGATTCAGTGTGCGTTTATTCATTGTGCGGCAAAAGCCATTTTAAGGCTCAAGGGTAGTTAATATTGCTAAATATTATTTCACTGTGATTATTCTTCTTGCTTGTGCAAATATTTTCATGAGCTAAATGCCAATGTCGAGGTCTGCCAGCAGCAACTAAAAGGGCTTCAGGAGATAGCTCGTGCCATCAGTGCTGCTCCTCCGTTGAAGGAATGCAGACTACAGTTCTTTACTATATGGTTCAATGTTTGGGTGGCATGGTCACAATCACACTGTGGCTTGTCTTTAATTTCCATTTATGAAGGATATGTACGCATCTGCTGTTGATGCTCTGATGCAGTTGATGGTGCACCATTGTCTGAAGAATGTCAAAGCCAGGAGATGTGATGTTTGTGTCTCAAATTAAGTGTTTATGTTGGGCGTCAACATTGTTCTACTCTGTTAACCATTGTTATTCCGGATCTGGGTGAGATTTGAGGATGGTGACAGTGCATTCCCATAAGAATAAACGGGACTTGAGTCTGTGATGAGGTACATTGTTGAGGCCTTCGTTTATTGGTAGGTTGTCATTGACAAGAATAATATAAACTCCCTTGCAGTTTGCAAGTTTCTGCGAATATTTGGTGGCAGAATGTTTGCCATTACAGGGAGCCTGGAGATTGGTGTTGGTTGTCAGTCTTTTGGTTATGATGTGCATTGCGTTATTTAATTGTGCATCTCGCAGTTTTGTGTATGAACTCCCGGACCAGGCTGCACTGACTAGATCAGTGCAAGATGAGGCGGCAGTTTACAGCACATCATGTTCTTGTAGCAGGGCGATTCTTGATTTGGTCTTTGCACAAATCTCTTTTATATGCACCTTGAAGGTCAGACTTCAATACATGATAACCTCTATATATCTTGGAGTGGGGTCATATAGCACTGAGCTATCACAGACGGACACATTAAGGGTACTCTCTGGTTCTTTCGGTAAAGTCATGTAGATCGATGAAGTTAATAAAAGAATACGACGTTTCGGTCGCAACACAATCGTCCGTCATCAGGTGAGAAAGAATGATCTGCTGTTGTGGTTTTATATACAGTGAGGGAAAAAAGTATTTGATCCCCTGCTGATTTTGTACGTTTGCCCACTGACAAAGAAATGATTAGTCTATAATTTTAATGGTAGGTTTATTTGAACAGTGAGAGACAGAATAACAACAAAAAAATCCGGAAAAACTCATGTCAAAAATGTTATAAATTGATTTGTATTTTAATGAGGGAAATAAGTATTTGACCCCTCTGCAAAACATGACTTAGTACTTGGTGGCAAAACCCTTGTTGGCAATCACAGAGGTCAGACGTTTCTTGTAGTTGGCCACCAGGTTTGCACACATCTCAGGAAGGATTTTGTCCCACTCCTCTTTGCAGATCTTCTCCAAGTCATTAAGTTTTTGAGGCTGACGTTTGGCAACTCGAACCTTCAGCTCCCTCCACAGATTTTCTATGGGATTAAGGTCTGGAGACTGGCTAGGCCACTCCAGGACCTTAATGTGCTTCTTCTTGAGCCACTCCTTTGTTGCCTTGGCCGTGTGTTTTGGGTCATTGTCATGCTGGAATACCCATCCACGACCCATTTTTCATGCCCTGGCTGAGGGAAGGAGATTCTCACCCAAGATTTGATGGTACACGGCCCCGTCCATCGTCCCTTTGATGCGGTGAAGTTGTCCTGTCCCCTTAGCAGAAAAACACCCCCAAAGCATAATGTTTCCACCTCCATGTTTGACGGCGGGGATGGTGTTCTTGGGGTCATAGACAGCATTCCTCCTCCTCCTCCAAACACGGCGAGTTGAGTTGATGCCAAAGAGCTCCATTTTGGTCTCATCTAACCACAACACTTTCACCCAGTTGTCCTCTGAATCATTCAGACGTTCATTGGCAAACTTCAGACGGGCATGTATATGTGCTTTCTTGAGCAGGGGGACCTTGCGGGCACTGCAGGATTTCAGTCCTTCACGGCGTAGTGTGTTACCATTTGTTTTCTTGGTGACTATGGACCCAGCTGCCTTGAGATCATTGACAAGATCCTCCCGTGTAGTTCTGGGCTGATTCCTTACCGTTCTCATGGTCATTGCAAATCCACGAGGTGAGATCTTGCATGGAGCCCCAGGCCAAGGGAGATTGACAGTTATTTTGTGTTTCTTCCATTTGCGAATAATCGCACCAACTGTTGTCACCTTCTCACCAAGCTGCTTGGCAATGGTCTTGTAGCCCATTCCAGCCTTGTGTAGGTCTACAATCTTGTCCCTGAAATCCTTGGACAGCTCTTTGGTTTTGGCCATGGTGGAGAGTTTGGAATCTGATTGATTGAATGCTTCTTTGGACAGGTGTCTTTTATACAGGTAACAGGCTGAGAATAGGAGCACTTCCTTTAAGAGTGTGCTCCTAATCTCAGCTCGTTACCTGTATAAAAGACACCTGGGAGTCAGAAATCTTTCTGATTGAGAGGGGGTCAAATACTTATTTCCCTCATTAAAATGCAATTCAATTTATAACATTTTTGACATGCGTTTTTCTGGATTTTTTTGTTTTTATTCTGTCTCTCACTATTCAAATAAACCTACCATTAAAATTATAGACTGATCATTTCTTTGTCAGTGGGCAAACGTACAAAATCAGCAGGGGATCAAATACTTTGTTCCCTCACTGTATGCACGGGAGGGGGGGGGGTGTAGAGTCGTGGCTGCAGGAGTTCATGGGGGAGAGGCGGGAGGGTTTGTGGCACCCCCCCCCCCCCCCCGTGGCACCCTCTCCCCCGTGAACTCCTGCAGCCACGACTCTACAAACCCCCTCTTCCCCCCCCCCCCGTGCCTATATAAAGCCACAACAGCAGACCATTTTTTCTCACCTGATGATGGACTCTTGTGTTGCGACCGAAACCACGTATTCTTTTTTTTTCTATGTACGTGACTTTACCGAAAGAACCAGAGAGTGTGGATTCCTGCAGTCACGAAAGCTTTAAATCAGCATTAAGGGTAGCATCTACTGTATGATTGTTCAGGTG